AAAAAAAAAAAAAAAAAAAAAAAAAAAAAAAAAAAAAAAAAAAAGAAAGGAAAAGGATTCCACAATTCCACATGCAGCATAAAGTTCTTCCAAGAACATATTCCTCAAGCAGTTCATTGGGCTGAATTTCCTCTCCTGACCTTGTTAAGACCATGGGCTTGAGCCAGATTGGGTTTAAATCTCTGCTCAGACCTTTACCACAAGAATAAACAAGATTTTAACCTTTCTGTGCCTCATTTTTTTTTCTGTAAAATGGGGTGACAAGGTATCTACCTCTAGGATTGTTATGAGGATAAAATGAATTACTAGATGAACGCACTTAGAACAGGTCCACTGTACATATTAAATGTTATAAAGAAAAAAAAGTTAGCTACTATTATTCAGTGCTTATAGCCTCCTGGGCAAATATTTCAAAAAAATTAATTAATTACTCATGAAGCTATATGATGGTGGAAATTGGGGTTTTCTTTCTAGATTACCGAATGATTCTGGGTTAGGGATTTAATTTGGGTGTCTCAGCTGCTACATTTGTACAGGCAACAGACATTTAAAAATATTCCATTAACAAATGAGGACTTGTTCCTTAGCTTTCCTTTACAAATGAAGAACATGCCTGAAGCCTGGGTTTAAAATTCCTTATACACTACCTGGGAGTTAGTGGTGGTGTTGATTTAAAAAACACATTGACATAACAATGTGAATGTATTTAATGCCACTGTGGAACTGTACATTTAAAAGTGATTAAGATGATAAATTTTATATTATGTGTATTTCATCACAACTTAAAAAAATAATGGTAGAGGTAATTGAAAAAAAGGAAAGATATAAGCTCAACAAACTGTTAACAACAACAATAGATCTGCTAAATATTTGCCAAATGTCCAAACTGGAAAAGTTCACTGCAGAGCTCCATTTTCACTTTTTATGTATTTTTTCTAAGGAGAATGAGATAGTTTTAATGTATCAGTGATTCTACATTTATCTGCCCCATTTTAGCCATTTTTTTTTTACTGGCCAGTACAGGGATCGAATTAACTATTCAAGAAAAATAATATTTATTAAAATAGGGTATACATTTGAAGGTTTAACCACTCAGAATGTGATTTTCAATAATTTCTATTTTTTATATTTCTACTTTTTCCCTTTATTTATCTTAAAAACATGTAAACACTATTCATAAATAGTCACCAAATACTGGTATAAACTTCCACAAAATGCAATACTAAGTAGTCATGTAAAAGTGATGAAGATTTGCATTTACTGTCCTGATATATGTTCATGTTTCTATTACAAAGTAAGAAAAAGTAAGTTTCAGAAAACATGTACAAAGATCCATTTTTGTAAGAGGAGGACAAAAACCACCACAAAACCAAAATCTAAATTGTATGCATAGAAAAAGATCTGGAAGGATAAAAATTAAGTACTCAAAATGTTAAGAGTGGTTATCTCTATATGAGGGAGTAACAGGTAATTTTCTATAATGAATATGTATTCCTTGTGAAATTTAAAACCTCAAATGTTACAAAATAAAAAATTACAACAAAAAAGGCAGCTGTGTGCTCTGTGTGGTTTCTTACCTAACTGCAGCGTGGCAGCCAGCAGGGCATGGATGTAGACTACAAACTGGGCCCGAATCCATTCATCACCTCCCTCCCAGCCTGTGCCATCCAGGAAGACGTCATCCCGGTTCTCAGTCACGTGCCTCACTAGGTAATCTGCGAACCTTAGGTCTGCAGTGGTTGGATTAAGCAGCTTCCTGAGTTCTGGATCATGGATCTGGATCAGAGCTTCTTCTACCTAGAGGGTACCCAGGTACAAGTCAGAGTCTGGGCATTCACGCAGATATCCATGCCACACTTTAAAGAGTAACTACTGGGAAGTTGGAGCTGGAAATAAAAAATATGAATAACAGCATTCTCAAAAGGTGAGTCTAGGGGCCAGCCCGGTGGCGCACTGGATAGTGCGCCGCTTGGGAAGCGCGGCAGCGCTCCCGTCCGAGGGTTCAGATCCCACGTACAGACCGGCTCCCGCTCACTGGCTGAGCGAGGCGCGGGAGCAACGCCGGGGCTTGCGATCCCGGCGCCGGTCCCCGGCCCGGTGCGGCGGCAACGCGGAGGGCTGCGGACCGGTGG